ATCTAGAAGGAAATAGACCAAACTTTTAAGAATCATTTTCTTTAGGAGCTAATGACTTGAATGCAGCTGACAGACCCCACAAGAGCCAGGAGAAGGAAGGAAACAAAGTCAAAGGGTGCATTGATAGACTGGCAGCGGGCAGTGGTTGATTGCCTGAAGGTTCCTAAAGAAGTGTAAAACAGAGTTCATGGGATAGAGTGGACAACCAGAACTTGTAATCAGAGAGGTTTTAGAAGTTGTATAAAATTTGGTCATGCTTCAGAATTGGGCCATGTGTGTATTTTATGAAGTGAGGTAATAGTCAAGGTCATTGGATTAAAGCAGGGCAATAAAACAACCATTCATTCTAGTATTTATTGGTTATTCAAGCATATATGTATGTTACAGGTTGCAGAAACAATGGTGAACAAGATGAATAAGATTCTTATGTTTGTGGAACTCGCAATTGGAGAAGTAGGCAGAGGCCAGATCATGCAAGGCCTTTTAGCCATGTTAAATGTGCTGAGAAACCGTTGGTGGGTTGTAAGCAGGGGAATGACTTGATCTGTTTTCTGTTTTGAAAGGACCATTCTGGCAGTTATGTTAAGGTTGTATCTTGGGAATAAGAACAGACAGTAAGGTGAGCACTTAGGAAGATATCGAAGTAGTTCAGGAAAGAGTTGGTAGTAGCCTGGATGAAGGTTATAGCAATGGAGATAGATATATTTTGAAGATAGAGCTGATAGTGCTTGATGATGGATCTGATATGGGAGGCGGCAGGGGGAGAAGTGAGGGATTAAGGATAACTGCTAAGTTTCTCTTTTGAACAAAGGGATGGATGGTGGTGTCATTTATGGAGATGAGAAAGATTGGGGTGGAAGGAACACAGTCTGATAGATATTGATTTCATATTGGATATGTTGAGTATAAGGAATTTGTGTATGTGTTTAGTAGGCAAGTTGGCTGTATTGTTATGATGCTCAGAAGAATGGGCTGGAGTCCTCCATTTGGGAGTCCTCGATGCAAAGACAGTAACTGGAGTCATGAGCAAAGGTAAGATTGTCTAGGTAGAGGAGAGAATGGAGAGCAAGAAAAGAATTGAAAAAAGACAAGACAAGAATTGGAGCTCCAACAGAACTGAGAACAACAGCTTCCTAAGGAGCTTGGTGTAGGCAGAAATCATTCCACCAATGCTGTGCTGACAAAGGTCACTCATGACTTCCTGCTTCCTTGAATCCTATGGATATATTTTAGCCATAATCTTTCTGAATCCACTGCTACATTATGATACCACTGTCCACTCCTTCCTGTGAAACTAGACTCTCCAGGTTTTCCATTCTCTCCTTCTAAGTAAATTTCTTTGCCCTTTATTGGACATGTGAAACTTTGTTGTTCCCCAGGAAGACTAAAGAATTATACTCTATGTTGAATTGTCAAGAACAGCTTCTGGAGCCACATCTTCTCTAGAATTGGGAAGCTGCTTGCAGATTTTGGAGGCTGTTGGTTTCAGAACTTCATGGAGGTGAGGGATAAATCCAGACAGTTATCTCAGGAAAGAGAATTCCAGATACAGTAAGGAGCAAGTACAAAGGCCCTGAGGTGTGAATGTGCTTGGTGCATTTGAAGAACATTTCAACATTTCACCAAAGAGATTCTGGTTACTTTTTTTTTTTTTTTTTTAATAATTTGAGATTCTGGTTACTTTTAAGTCAGAGCCAGCATAACCAGATACATCAAATGTGGACTATGAAAGAGAGGAGTCAAGGATGACTCCAAGGTTTTTGGCAAAAGTACACAGGACAAAGTTGCCATTTACTGAGGAAGTAAATGTTATGGGAAAAACAAATTTGGGGAGGAAAATTAGCTTGGTTTGGGACATGTTAAATTTCTGATGCCTAACACACATTCAAATGGAGATGTTGGGTAGGCAGTTGGTTATAAAGGTCTGGAGTCCATGGGAAAGAGACAAGCTGGAGATATAAATTCAGGACTCATTGGCTTATATGTGGTATTTACAGCCATGGGACTGAATAAAGTCACCAAAGAAATTCACTGAAGAAAAGATGATCAGGCCCTGGCGGTTTTAGGGAGGGTTTCAAGGAGAATGGAATGGTAAACTATATTAAATGCTGTCACATGGGTGGCTTTTCTTTCCACCTTCCTTCCTTCCTCCCTCCTTCACTCATGACTATAAAAATGACAAAGCTGTGCGGAATTCAGCCTTCCTATGCCCAGACTTAAAATCAAACATCTTTCCCTTTTTTCCTCTCCCCTAAATATGTACTATAAACCCCAGGCACTTCTGAACTGTTGTGTTCTAATCTGGGCCCTACACTCCAAGGGATCCTGACAAAAAAATCATGCCATATAGTAGGACCTGAAAAAGCTGAGACAATTTAGCCTGGGGGAACAGAAGACTTTCCAGGGATGACAATAGTTGTGATCAGCTACCCGGTGTCATAATTAAGATTGTTGACCAAAAATTGCAGTCATTCAACTTTTCCAAAAGTGGCATGGGATTCTCAGGCAGTAGTGAGGCCTTTGTGACTTTCAACATGATGATTCTATCTTTCAAAAATCATACTCTTGTTCTAGCTCTGAGATGCTGGTGAATACTGTTTGCATACCTAACTGATACCCTTTGTAGTGGAAATAGCTACAACACACACGTGAAATCTCACAGTCACATAATCAACCATTTTACTAAATACAAGCAAATTCTCATTCACATACAGCTAAAGAAAACATTTTTCCACATTTCATTACAATGCACAACAAAGTGAGGAAAAGTTTACAGTACATTTTATTCTGGAATAGGAGACAATCTAATCCAACATGCAGTTGTGGTCTTTGTTACAAGTTAGTTGATCTTTTCTTTTACCTATGTAGTAAAATAGCTTCTAAAGCTTTATCCTTAGTATTGTATTAACACCTGATTTTTTCACACTTATTTTCTAAAACCCACTTATTGCAGTGACAACAGCACTGAATTCTACTAAAATGATTTTTTAAATTTCTAGAACTTGTTTAAGCAATTAAGCTCAGCCACCTTTGCTGGGTCCTGTGCTGAGTATTTTTAAACCTGCCTAAAAAAATGCAAGGAATGAGAACAGTATACATATAATGTATTTTAGACAAGAAAACTGTAAAGGTTTTGTTTCTATCCTTTTTTTTTTTTTTTTTTGAACTGACAGAATCCACTCAACTCATTTATCCACTGGATAATCTTGCTTTCAGAATCTTCTTAATATAATTAAGTATAGTAGTTGGTGAAACTTTGTCTTTAACCCATTTACCATCTTTCATTTGCCTTCTGAAACCACAAAGCTGGCAACTTAATTACTCCACCCAAGCCAGGTCATGTGGAATGAATGTAGACGATGACTGGTTCACTTGTAGTTGATGCTGCAGGTTGGTCCAAGGTGTTTTTTTTTTTCCATAATTTTCATTATTTGGCTGCTTCATTCTGGCTGAAGTAAATTCCCAAACGTTCAGATTCAGTCACATTCATACTGAAGTTCAATATTATATGTCAAAGCAATTTACCATTGTCAGGCCTTCCTATCACAATGGATATGAGAAACCTGACTATTCAGAATTGTTTTCTTACTGTGAAAGGTATGGCTTTTGCCTAGCTCAACTGGCTACAGTCCAAAGAATAATTTAAAGCATGACCTCTCTTCAAGAAGATAATGGAAGCTTAAGCCAACCATTTCAATTTTCTGATGCAATTAGATGTCTGTTCACCTGAGAATTAAGAGCTGACTCTCCAGAATAGCCAAGAATCCAGTGTAGGTATATGGCAAACAGGTGGCTAAGGTCATTGTGAGTTGAGTATTTTATCCCCATCCCACTCCCCTTCGCTGTATTTGGTTCCTTTCAATAATATGTCCACTGTGTTTCAGTGATAAGAACACTTGTAGCCCACACAGTTTTAATGTGTTTTGAGTTGTGCAATTATTTACTCATTTAAAGCCCTCTTGTCAATGATACCTGAATTGGCTTTACCTTTTGTTTCATCCCCAGGTTCCCTCAGGATTATAGCTGAGTCGTGAGCAATAAGGAAACATATCCTAACATGTAGAGAACATTTATTTACAGTCATATCTCTTCCAAAGTAAACAAATTAATAACAGTTCATTCATCTGATAGCAGGCACAAGATGATGCAGTGGAACAAGAACTAGGAGTCAGGAGACCTTCCCCTTAGCCAAGTGAATCTCCTGCTTCTTAGTTTACTCTTGTGGGGAAGAAAACCTCACAGGCCTGTTGTGATGATCAGTAAATGATTCAAGGGACTGTGAAGTGTTTGCAAGGGTCACAGCGCCTCTTGTTGAGCAGGTACTCAGTACAGGCTGTTTTCACAGGCAGTCCCTGTACATTGCTGCCAGGTACCTGAAGAGTCAGGCAGGTGAAACTCAAGGCATGGTCAGAAGGGACAGAGGGTATGGCATGGATTACACTGTTTCTTCTACTTATATGGTAATTTGCATGGGACAGTTTCTTTCACACTGTTGGTTATTCCATCACAAGGGTGTACATTTTCTGGAATGTGATAACATCAGTATGTATAATGGCCTCCCTTTTCATAGTCACACCAATTTTACTAGAACAACAGGCCTTGAAAGGGTCATAGTAAATAGCTGGTCCATGCCCCTCATTCTACGGATGAGCTGTTTAGAAGCCAATAGGTACCTTACAACCAAACCCAGCACACACGCTTGGTGTGGGATATTCTCACTGATTAAGTTGATCTCATAGTCATTTTTAGTTTTGCGAGTTGTTTCCAATGTGATACTTTTTTCCCCTTTATATATATCTTTATGTTTGTGGCCTATGAATGAGCTGAAACACCAACAAATAGTTATTCTGTCTGTGGGTGTATTTTTCTGGAGCCTAGCTCCCCAAACCTCAGCCCCTTGACATGTGATCCACAAAGGGCACATGGAGCAGCCACTGCCCAGAATGGGCCACAAACAGTGCCTGGCCCATATCAGTAATTCAGTCCCTCAGTCACAGCACCCAGGCTCCCACATCCACCAACCCACAGCCTGTCAGAAACCCCTTGAGAAGGAGGCTCACTTGTATGTAAAATGGAGGTTGAGTCCATTCAGTCACGCAGGGATTCTTTTCATTTTGATCACTTTTAAGTTCAGGTGGGAGAGCATGTTTTGGAAATAAAACAGCTGACTAGCACAAACATCTCCTTTCTGATTTGACAACCTCTTCTGAAGAGTGAACCACATTTGGTACAAATCCACTCTTCACCCCTTCCCATCCCTCCTGGATTGTAATATCCCCCCTTTTAACCAGCTCATATATGTCTCTTGTCAGGTCTGTGAAGGCTTTCTCCACATTAATGGCGTCTCGGGCTGACGTTTCAATGTACTTCATGCCGTACGCAGCAGCCAGTTTCTCTGCCTCGTGGCGAGTCACTTGCCTCTGTGTATCCAGGTCACACTTGTGACCCACCAGAACAAATACAATTTGGTAGGGCTGAACGTGCACTTTGGTCTCTTCTAACCACTCATGGACATTCTGGAAGGACCTGCGGTTGGTAATGTCAAATAAGAGAAGACCACCTACTGAGTTCCTGTAGTAGGCGCGAGTGATGGATCTAAAACACAAGAAAGAAGTAAAGAATAAAGGCCATGCCCAAACTCCTGTACTTCGATGAACTCAGATAGTGTATTCTAGTGTGTCTGGTTACTGACACAGTCCTTTAGTAAAGATGATTTTCTTTTTTTTAAACAATGGAATGCAAATGTCATTCTGTAATAATAACAAACACATGAGTTTTCAGTTGGGCAAAACTAAGAGAGAGCATCTTCTGGAAAAGAATGCTCATGGCCTTACAGGCATTTTCCCTTGATTCAGGTAGAACTACAGCTCACTCTCCCACCCTGGCAAAATGGGATACCGAAGTCACAGGTTATTATGAAGAAAAGTGAAATAATGAATGTTAAAATGTCCTCTGACCTGGAGAGCTCATGATAAATTCTAGCAGTTGAAACAGAATTTAAAAAGATTAGAAGTGAATTTATGATAGATGACAGAAAGTGTTTATGAGTATATATACATATATTGCAATATGCTCCATTTTTTTCCATTTATCACTTCTTTAAGGGGGTCCTCCATCTCTTCTCTGAGGAGAAACACATTTTGTTTTTTATTTTCTAGGCCATGTAGAAATGGGAAAAATAAGAATGGTCTGTAAAGGTGTCGAGCAGAGTGCCTGTCAGCCCTATTTCCTGACACATTTCAGAGAGGCTGACTCAGGAGCTATCACTGGGAAAAACTGCCCAAATAGCAAAAATTTCCCCTTAAAATGATACAACTTATTTAAAGCGGTGTACCTGGAATATTTCTAAAACCCTAAAGGTTTAGGATCTAAAACCCTTGCCGTACTTAAACAGAAGAAACCTCCAATATTTTAACTTCTTGAGGAGCCTACATATGTTAGGGTGCTTAGAGCATATTAGAGCTTATTAGAGGGTGTCAAACTATTTGCTTCTACAATCACTTGTTTTAGACTACTGTGCTTTTTGATCTATGTCTATTTTTACGTTTTCTGTCTCCTTCGATGAAAAAGATAACAACGAGGGACTCAATAGCTTAAGGCTTAGGACAAATGGCCCAGTGATAAGAGAACATTGTCCAGGGAACTACAGTCCAAGCTAGATGATAGTAAGAACAAATGTTACAAATGAGTTCAAGTCTCCAGAACCAGGCAAATCGGCCCTGGAGACTGGAAGCATTGCTAATTCTCTTACGTTTAAAGGTTCATGGAGAATGGTAGGTGTAATCAGAAAATTCAACATGAACAAAGGTTTTGATTCGTGAACAACTTGGTTCAGGAAATTGGTGAGCAAGCTGTAGATCCCTGTCAAAACTCTAAAAGACATTATTATATTAATGGTTTGTGAGTATTTAGAAGGTAACAAACCCCTTTCTAAACACAATATAGGGCTACATAAAAATTAAAACTTCCATTCATCAAAAAATTTTCTTAAAGTTCAAAGACAAATGACAAACCAGGAGAATATTTTATAACATATATGACAGAAAAGGATAGTAATCTATAAAAAACTTTCAAATCAATATCACCCAATAAATAATAAGCAGTGGATATGAAAAGGCTTTTCATACAGAAAGAGATTCCAGTAAACATATAAAAGATACCTTTTTTCACTTCTAATATGAGAAATGTAATCACCAATTCAAAGTGAACCTGTACAAGGATATTTGTCACAGTGTTGTTTGTGCAAGTTGGGGGTGGGGTGGGGTGGAGACAAGTTTGTAGTAAACTCTTCTACTTTTCTTCGACTACCTAACCAGTATTTTCTATGCTCAATTAGTGTTCAATAAATGAATAAATAATCATAAACATTTGAAAATGAATAAAGGCTATTGAGTCCTTTTGATCTAGTTCCTGCTGCCTTATGTGACTTTAGCTCAAATAGTTTTCTCTCACTTGTCTTAATACATATGCTGTTTTATGTCCCTGGGCTTTTCCTGTCTTTGCTTTGGGTAGTCATATTCTCCAGGTAGCCTTTTCTGTGTTCAGACATATAATTACACATGATGCATATACTACAAAGGAAAGACAAAGGGTTGTAAGAGAAAATTAAACCTGTCCATTGGTTACTCATTATATGCTAAGCGTTATAGTCGGGAGTGGGCATACAAATATGAACAAGACACTCTTTTGTATAATTGCTGATTATGTATTTCCTCCCACTATGCCAGCACAGAAGTTCTAAGAGGGAAGGGCCTGTGTCTGTTTTGTTTACAAGGCGTCCTCTTGTGTGTTTCCCTGGGCTGTTTCCCCAGAAACAAGCCCAGCGCCTGACATGCAGTGGATGATCTCTGAATGTGTGCTGGTTGCAAGAAGGAATCAATCATCAGTATCTATTTCATATAATTATATATGTATATATATAATGATAGATACTCTCTGAATGTGTGCTGGTTGCAAGATATATATGTGTATCTCTTTATATCTGTGTCTATAAGTAGCTATCTCTGTATATCATCTGTCTATACCTGTCAGTTATGTTACGATGACCTGGAAACATTTTTGAAAGTAATGTAGCATAAGGACTGAGATTGATAAATTACAGTGATCAATTCCAGCTAGTTTATTAGCCACCAAGGGGCAGATTGGTGGAATTGTGGTGCAAGCAATACGTATTATTGACTGGCCCTCCCTGCCAGGGTGCTTCTTACCCTGCACTGAACTCCAGGCTAGCTGAAGGTGGGCTTGAGCAGAAATCCCCAGACCCTTGGTATCGTCCCTATGGGGCCGCGATCAGGACCAGGAAGTCCTCTTTCCCCAGGGGTTGTTCAAGCCGCGAAGACCCTCCCACTGCTCGCGGCCCCGGCTGCGCTCCCACCTGAACCTCTCTTGACCCGCGGTATCCCAGATCTGGAGCTTGATGCGTTTTCCTGGCTCGATCTCCACCAGACGGGAGAAAAAATCCACTCCCACAGTGGGGTCCGAAACCTGGGCAAAGCGGCCTTCGGTGAAGCGGCGGATCAGACAGGACTTGCCCACCGTGGAATCCCCGATGACAATGAGCCGGAACTGGTATAGCCAGATGGCCTCCATGGCCGGGTATCAGCAGGTCTCCTTGGCCCGGGCCGGCCGTGGGCGGCGAGAGAGGCGCCCAGCCGAGGCCTCGGAGAGCGTGGCTTGGTCCGGATCTAGATCGGCCGCGAGCACATCGCTGGCCTGGGAGCCTCAGGCGCGGTAGGCCCAGGCTCAGGGAGAGCGAAGGAATGGATGCTGCGCTCGCAGAGGTGATGAAATGGCAGCAGCATCAGCACCACGCACTCTGACTCATCACTGACAACCGAGTTACTGTAATCCCGCGCGTAGACGCGACGCTCGGGGCTGCCACACTGTCTGTAAAAGGAGCGCACACAGAAACAGCCGCGGAAAAAAAAATACAGCGCCTTCCTTTCCTTTCTCATTCCTCCACCCACCGCCTCTTCCTAATTTTTTTTCTCTATCTCCAAATACCAAAAGTAATACCTTTTCATTAAAACTAGCAAAACAATCCAAAATGTACACAAAAAGGTAGATCCATAATTATCTGACTCCTCCCTCCCCAAGACAGTAACAGCTTGGGATATATTCTTTCATGTGTATTGCCATGCAAATATACATACACATAAAAATTTATTCCTGTTTGATTCTACAAAGATTGGATCAAATTGGACCATTATTCTGGCATTTGTTTTTTGCAATTAATAAAGAATCATAGACATCCTCCATTTCCAACTCATTTTCCTTTTACCATGACAATGCTGCAATAATGATTCTAAGTATAGTCACACATATGTTATTTCTGTGAGATAGAGTCTTTCAAAACGGACTGGGAAGTCAAAGAGTATGAACATTTTAAATGTAATGGATTTGGGCATTATACATTGTAAAAATACTTAACAATATAAATTCTACTTAGCAATATGTGAAAAGGCCATTTCTTCACATTTTTTTTCAAGCATCATGTTATAGTCTTTCTGAATTCTTACCAGTCTGATGTAGTTAAATAAAAAGGTGCTCATTGCTTTGTTTTACATTTCCCTGACTACTAATGAGGTCAATACCATTTCTTGTGCATTGACCATTTGTGTTTCCTTTTCTGGGAATGGCCTCTCCGAATCCTTTGTTCTTTTTTAAAAAATGTAATCCCTTATCATTGCCTTACTAAACTAAAAAACAGTTTTATTGGTATATAACTCACATACCATACTATTCGCTCATTTGAAGTGTACAATTCAATGGTTTTTAGTATAGTCACAGAGTTGTGCAACCCTCACCACAGTCAATTTTAAAATATTTTCATCATCCCCAAAACAGACCCCTACCTTTTAGCCCATCACCCCTCTATCATCCTTCCCTCCTAGCCTTAGGCAACCACTAATCTACTTTCTGTCTCTATGGATTTCCTTATTTGGGACATTTCATACAAACGGAATTATACAATATGTGGCTTCTTTTCATAGAATCTTTTTCTGGCTTTATAACTGGCTTTTTTCACTTACTATAATATTTTAAAGGTTCATCTACATTCATTTTTATGACTGAGTAATATTCCACTGTGTGGATGTACCATTTTGGTAATCCATTTATCTATTGACGGACATTTGGGTTGTTTCTACCTTTTGGCTATTATAAATAATGCTGCTTTGATCATTTGTGTACAAATGTTTGTCTGCACACATATTTGAACTCTTTTGGCTTTAAACCTAGGAGTGGAATTTCTGAGTTCAATGGTGACTGAATGTTGAATGCTTTGAGGAAATGCCACATTGTTTTCCATAGTGGCTGCAATGTATGAGGGTTCTTATTTCTCCGTATCTTCTCCAACACTTGTTATTTTCTGACTTTTTGACTCTAGACATCCTAGTGGGTGTGAAGCGGTATAGCTCATTGTGGTTTTGATTTGCATTTCCCTGAAGACTAATGACAATGTGCATATTTTTACATTCTTATTGACCACTTGTGTATCTTCCTTGAAGAAATGTAGACTCAGATCCTTTTCCCACTTTTAAACTGGGTTATTTGTCTTTTTATTATTGAGTTGTAAGAATTCTTTATATATTCCAGGTACAAGTCCTTTATCACATATATGATTTGTAAATATTTCTCCCACTCTGTGTACCCTTTTTTTTAAAATGAAAAATTTAACTCAAAATAATGCATGCATGCTAAGTACCTTGGTATACTCAATACAAAATGATGCTGGAGAGTTTACAAAGTTGGTGATGGAATACAGTAGTTTCCAGGGAACTTACTTACTCAGACCTTCACAGGGCCCTAGAAAACTTCATTTTTAACAAGAATCCCAAAAGATTCTAGGCCTTAATTAAAAGTGTGGTTTAGGGAAGCACTTTAAAGTTTCACTCTGTGTCAGATTACATATACAATAAAAGTAAATTATAAATCATGTAATTGAACAAAAAACTTTTCTTTATAGAAACTATTAAATAGATACCTAAATACAAGATGGATTTTAAAATGAAATGTTATTTGTATTTGTAAAGACAGATACACTAATAAAAAGCTATACAACATGAACAGCAAATCCAAGTACAAATGAAGATAATCCTCTGAATTCCATGTTTCATCGAGCATCAAAAACCACCAATCTTTTAGTCCTTTTCTTGTACATTATTCTGTATCCACATTCTCTGCATCTGATTGGATCCCTGGATTTTATTTCATTTTCTGTGTGACATTCTCTGCAGATATATATCATTGGCTGCTGCTTTGGGGGTTGAACGTCCTTTTCGGTGTCCATTGATAGTCCCTCTAAATACAACCAGCCAATTCCCTACCCATGTAGCCCGCAGAAACTTCGTACTCTGAACTCTGTGTACCCTTCTTGCACTTTCTTGAAGGTGTCTTTTGAAGCACAGAGTTTTAAATTTTGATGAAATAGAAATTATCTTTTTTCCCTTTTGTTGCTGATGTTTCTGGTGTCATGTCTAAGAGGACTTTTGCCAAATCCAAGGTCATGAAGATTCACTCCTAGGCTTTCTTCGAAGATTTTTGTAGTTTTAACTCATACATTTAGGTCTATGCTCTATTTTGAGTTAATTTTTAAATATGCTAGAGGTAGGGATCCAACTTAATTCTTTTACGTATGGATATCTAGTTGTCCAAGCACCATTTGTTGGGAGAGGGTATTCTTTCCCCATTGAATTATTTTGGCACCCTTGTTGAAAATCAATTGACCATAGACCATGGGTTTATTTCTGGACTCTCAATTTTATTCCATTGGTTTATATGTCTAGTCTTATGCCAGTAACACATTGTCTTGATTTTTTTAATTTAATTTAATTTAATTTTTAATTTTATTTATTTGAGAGAGAGAGTGAGAGAGAGAGCACAAGAGGGGGTAGGGTCAGAGGGAGAAGCATACTCCCTGCTGAGCAGGGAGCCCGATGCGGGACTCGATCCCGGGACTCCGGGATCATGACCTGAGCCGAAGGCAGTCGCTTAACCAACTGAGCCACCCAGGCGCCCCACATTGTCTTGATTATTGTAGCTTTGTAGTAAGTTTTGAAATCAGGAAGTGTGAGTCCTCCTCCTGTGTTCTTTTCCAAGATTGTTTTGGTTGTTTGGGGCCTCTTTTAATTCCATATGAATTTTAAGATCAGCTTGTCATTTTCTGCAAATAAGGCAGCTGGGATATTGATTGAGATTTTATTAAATTTATAGATCAATTTGAGGAGTATATTCATCTTAATAAAATTAAGTTAAATTAAATTAAATTAAGTCTCCTAATGCTTGAACATAGGATGTTTTTCCATATATTTGGGTCTTTTAAAATTTCTTTTAACAATGTTTCTTAGTTTTCAGTTTACAAGTCTTATACTTCTTTTGTTATTTCTAAGTATTTTATTCTTTTTGATGCTATTGTGAATGGAGTTGTTTTCTTAATTTTATTTTCAGATTGTTCATTGCAAGTGTATAAAAATACAACAGAGGCTGTTTGTGGTGGATGTGATGGCTTCAAGGTTACTTCGTGGAATTGGAGTGCTGGCCACGCAGGACCTCAGGGCACACAGTCCCAATGGAGTCGCCATGGTGCAGTTCATGGCATCTGCAGGTGGTGTTCCTACTGAGACGAGCAGGCACCCGGGCTGGAGAGGGAGGTCATGATGACTGCATGGAAGGGGTTAGACCCATAAATATGCTAGCCCCACAGGCAACTTCAGGCACCAAAGAAGACCCTAATTTAGTCCCATCTATCACCAACAAGAAATAGTGGGCTGCATCTTTGAAGAGGACAGTAGTGCCTTCATCTGTTTCTGGCTGCACAAAGGTGAGATCCACTGATGCCCTAGCTGTGGAACCCATTACAAGCTGGTGCCCCACCAGTTGGCCTACTGAGCCTTTGCACTAACTTACTCAAAATGTGCTGTGAAGTTTCTTCTTTCCACTAAAGACTAACCATTGCATTGGCTCCTTCCTTCCACTAAAGACTAACCATTGCATTGGCTCCTTCTCCTCCCTCCCCCAAAATACAATAGATTTTTATTTATTTATATATTTTTTAAAGATTTTATTTATTTGACAGAGAGACACAGCGAGAGAGGGAACACAAGCAGGGGGAGTGGGAGAGGGAGAAGCAGTCCCTCTGCCGAGCAGGGAGCCCGATGCGGGGCTCAATCCCAGGACCCTGGGTCTATGACCTGAAGCCGAAGGCAGACGCTTAATGACTGAGCCACCCAGGCACCCCTACAATAGATTTTTAATTGATTTTATGATTTCCAATCTTGCCAAACTCATTTACTAGTCCTAATGGTATTTTTTAGGGTATTCTATATGATTTGGTCAAATGGTTTGTCTGCAACTGATCATGTAATCATGAGATGATCATGTGCTTTTTGTTTTTGTATTCTATTGATATGATGTATTACATTAATTGGTTTTTCGATGTTGAGTTAACCTTGCATTCCTGGTATAAATCCTACTTGATCATGGTGTATAATTTTTTAAATATGTTTTTAGATTTGATTTGCCAGTATTTTGTTGAGGATTTCTGTATCCAGCTTTATAGTATTTATCGGTCTGTAGGTTTTTTGTTTTTTGGGTTTTTTTTTATTGTGATGTCCACTTCTGGTTTTAGCATCAGGGTAATATTGGCCTCATAACATGAGTTCAGAAGTGTTCCTTCCTCTTCTGCTATTTGGAAGAGTTTGTGAAGAATTGGTTTTAATTCTTTTTAAATGTTTGCTAAAATTCAAGCCAGTTGGGCCTGGGCTTTTCTTTGTAGGTAGTATTTTGATTACTAATTCAATCTCTTCACTTGTCGTAGGTCTATTCAGATTGTCTCTTTCTTCTTCTTTTTAAAATTTTAAATGTATTTTATTTAACCAAATATATCCAAAACTATA